AGCGTGACCGATTTCCGTCATGCGATAGATGAGATCGCGCGACTGAGATCACCCGCGCGGGGTTGAAAAGACCTCTGCGAGATGATGACACGCATAAATCAAAAAGAAAAAGGCAATTTTTTTTCCCCCCGAATCCGTTAGGATTTCAACTCAGGCCTGTATCTCCGTAGGCGTGGCTGAAAGACCACGTGAAGTCGTGTATCCGTTGGCCTAAGCCAACAGAAGCTGACGTCAAAGCGCCACATGGCGCATTCAAAAGTGACAGGGCCATTTTAGTCCCCAGTATACCTGACGGTGCCCAATTTAAACGGGCGACCGTTTTTTGAAGGTAAGTTTTTTTTTTTTTTTTTTTTTTTTTAGACAAGTTTTTTTTTTTTTTTTTTTTCTTTAGATTTTTCTTAAGTTTCTCAGATTTGCTTTTTTTATTATATATATATATATATTTTTCTTCCTTTAGATCTCCCCTTTTTTCATTTGCAGGCAGTGTTGGCGCCCGTTCGTTTGGACGAACGCGCCTTTTTCGTCGATGTAACATGGCTGGCCTCATGCTACTTCCATCGATAGGATGAGCAAAATCGGAAGAATTTACCGCTAGAACATGGAAATATACATTTGTACATGTGTGTGTGTGTGTGTGTGTGTGTGTGTGTGTGAGAGAGAGAGAGAGAGAGAGAGAGAGAGAGAGAGAGAGAGAGAGAGACGAACCTGGCTCGCACTACTTCCATCACTAGGACGAGCAAAAGCCAAAGCATGGAAATATAAACGGCCGCGCTTTTTGTCCCCCTCCCCTAGGCACCAACAAAGAGAGCGCCCGTTCAATTTTGAAAATGGGCAGTGCTGTTGGGCCGCACGCCTGAATCCAGCGCCCTTCCTGCGCCAAATATAGGCGTGGGGCAGGGGGGGGAAGAAGACCCTGTTGAGCTTGACTCTAGTTTGGCTCTGTGAAATGATTGAGGGTGAGGGTGCCTGTTGGTTTCGAACAGCGAACTGCCCCCTACAGTAAAACGAGGGGCAGAGAGAAAACAAAGGGGTGAGGAAAAAAAAAAGAGAGAAAAAAGAAAATAAAAATGGCCATGTATGTGGCCGTGGTAGTGGCTAGGTGAGAGTGTGAATGTGTGTGAGTGTGAGTGGGGCTGAGTCTGTTCGTTTTTTGAACAGGCTCAGCAATGGCTGGGCACAGCCATTGCCTGAAGCATGCAGCCTGACGGGAAGGCCAGATGCTTCACGGATTGGAAGACCTTGGTTCCCCTAGGGTAACATCACAAGTTTTGGCCCTTGATCGTGAGTTCAGATCAAGGGCTCAGCCCAACTCCGTTTTTGGACTGTGGGCCAAGTGGTTGCCCACAGTCCTTCAGCTGGTTATAAAAGCCAGCAGCACCCACACTGACTCACAATTATTGAGGCTGTGATGGTGCTCATTTGCACTTCATGTGCAGAATGAGCTCCATCACAATGTGAGGGGCGGTGCTGCTGGCGGAGGTCTGCATGGAAGTAGAAGAGAGAGAAAAGGGCTGCCATAGCCAGAGGGAGGGAGCTAATTGTCCCACCCCTGCGCTAGTGCCGCACCTGGTAGGCTGCGTCAGGGTCCGGACGGTGCGGCAAGCGACACCGGTTTTAGTGGGGTTGTGCTGCAGGATTGCCCGCACGGCAATCATAATCGTTTTAAAGGGAGATGCTGTCAGATTTGTCATGCGGCATCGATGTCTTCTTTCATGCGAGTGTGGGAAGGCGCTGCTCGATCAGTGGCACGGCAACGGCGGTGCATCCGGTGGGACCATGCTGCCGAAATTTTTGCGGCGGCGGGGGGGGGAATGCTACCGGTTTTACCACACGGCGTCGACTTTTTTTGTGTAGGGAAGTGTTGTCTGGTTGGCGGCATGTCCACGATTCTCTTTCTGAGGGGCAGTGTGCCATAATTTTGTGGCACGGTGAATCAGTCATTTTAAGGTGTGATTAGGCGGAGGTGCCGCACAACAACCGTGGTATCGGTTTTGACGGCACAGCGAGCCGTAATCCCGCCGTTGTTTTTTTGTGACGTGCAGCGGTTATGGTGGATATCAGTGCGGCCTAGAGGTTGGGTGTTACATTCTGCGATTCCACACGGGCCTTCACAGGCCCGACATACCGGTTCAAGGGGTACCCAGGCCGGCCTCGCCAAAGGCCATGCCTTTTTCTCCCGGTAGGCCCTGTTAGGCCACCGGCTGGGGCCTCAGCACCTAGCAGACCAGGGTTGGCCCAAAAGACATGACCGTTTGGGCCTGGCGGCGCTCTTGAGGCTGCTGCCCGCCGGTCTGCGCTGAACAGTCATTTCGACGGTTCAGCCCACTGCGCAGGAGGCCAGCATCGAGGCCGACCGGCCGCCGGACGGTACTTAGGCCGGTCCAGCGCCCATTCCCATCATCTTGGAACAGCGGCAGCTAGGAGCAGCGCTGCGCTAATTTGGGATTAGCGCAGCTCCGAGCGCAGCAGCGCTATTTCGCGCTGACTGGCGAGTAGAGGTGGTAGAGGGAGGCACTCACCGACTTACCTGTGCAGCGCCATAGCTCCAGGTTGAAGTGACTTGGATACGAGTTGGACAGAGATCAGTGTTTGGACTTTGGTGGTAAGAGGCTGTGATACTTACCGATTCGAGACCTTGGAGATAGTTGGGATTGATACTCGGCGGCATCACAGATTGGACACCGGTTACATTAGGACTCTGTACCTCCGACATTGGTGACTTATTGTCCACGACATTCTGATCTTTGTTCGGTGACATTTTTGGACCACCATATCGGTGACCTTCTGGATTTTATCTCGGTGACATCTGGCGCTACCTATACCTCCCACCTCCATCGTCGCTCCTCCCACCTTTCATCTGTGTATGGTTGTACGGGGCCTGAAGCATCCTCTATGATTGGCTTCAGACCCCACCATCTCCCGATTGTTTGTGTGAGAGTGATGTCTGGATGAGTTCAGTCTATGTGACTCAGTCCATTTCTCAAACTTCCGCTGCATACATGCTCATCCTATATTGGTTGATCTTTGGTTCGGCCCATACTTGTTGAAGTATTCACTAGTATGCAACATTGGGCTAGCGCTGGTGCACGGTTGGGATTGTGCGGCATTGGAGCGTGGACCGGCTGATCTACTTGGAGGGAGTGCACATGGCGGTAGTCATTGGGCTCTAGGCACGTGTGGTTTTCACCCGAGGCCACCTTTATTTTTTTTGCGGCGTACGGTGCGAGCGGTATTGGTGTTTGGGACCATTTGGTGTTGCGGGCGTGAATGTGGAACCACATGAGACAAATTTGGGACCAATTGGGATCAGCTTGAGGCTGGGGCGAGAACGGTTGTGGTGGTTGTCTTGTGTGGACGCTGTGATTGAAGGAGGTGGACCGCCGTTCAGTGGGACAGCCACAAGTTGTGGAGTTGTGGCCCTCGTATTTTCAGCTTCAACGGCGGTTATCCTTTACTCTGATTGGAATATTACTCGGCTTTCTTGAGTGAGCCAGATCAAACTTCACTCAAGGTCAGTTGATTGACTCAGGACAAACATTCTGAAAACCAATAGGAAGCTAGCATGCCAGGCAGGGTAAGAAAACAGGCCATTAAGACTTTTGGAGAAAGTTGGTTGGATCCTAGTGCAAGCTGGCAGAGGTCCATGATAACAGAGGAATACAGTGGAAAAACTGGGCCGCTCAGGACAACAAGTGGACCTTCAGGCCAATGGAATGTTTCCACAACCCACTGCCTGGACATCCGGCCATTGCATTGACAAAGACACATCTGACTAACAGGCCGCTCCCCTACTCGCCAAATCAATGCTCCCATGCGATCCCAGCTCCCCCTTATGACGCCCCCTCCACCCCCACACCTCCCGCAGTCTCCCCCGAACCCCCCCCTCCACCATCCCGACTGAGTCCCGCGCCTGTTACTCCACCCCACCCCCACCCGCTTCCGTCAGGACCACCACCTCTAACATCGATCCCCTCGCCCCCTCTCCCATCAAACCCCCTCCCCTTCCCCTACACCGCTTCCCCATACCCCCTCCAAGCCGCCTCCGTCCAGCATCTGGCCAGCCGGCACAAGCAGTGGACCGGTCAACACAGCAAACACTCAACAGGAACGTAGCGGCGACAATATCCTCACCAGCTTCTGACTGGCAGCGGACATCATGACGAGGTGGTCCTTCTCAAGCGAATCTCCGGTAGAGGGGCCGGGGGGGAGGCCCTCCCCTCCACAGAGGGTTAGGAAACGTATAGGAAAAGTACAGTGGAAACCCGAGGACAACAAGCACCTGCCAGAGCAGTAGAGGGATCATTAGAGCCAGCATTGAAAGTGGTAGAAGATGGCAGCACACAGTGGTATAGAAGTAGCTAGACTGATGCCAGCAACAGCTCATAGAAGCCAGTCTGCTGCCAACAACAGGCCATAGGATAACAGATACCGTGAGGCTGACCCATTCAACAGGAGGGGGATTGCATTCTACTCCGATGCTCTAACAGTGAGCCTCATCAGACATCAGACATGCAGTACAGTGGATAGGAAGGTCAAGCATGCAACTTTGTGTACATACAAAGGGACGTCGGGCCCGGTTCCTGGCAGGTGCTGCTCCCACCAATAGATGGAGCCATCACACCCGTGGCCCACTTGAGGAAGATGCTCTTACCACTTCCTCAGGTGCTCACCCCAATTGCAGTTCTCGTTAACAAAAAAAAAAAAAAAAAAAAAAAAAAAAAAGAAAGGGGGAAGCCCCACCAATAGAAGGAGCCATCACACCCGTGGCCCACTTGAGGAAGATGCTCTTACCACTTCCTCAGGTGCTCACCCCAATTGCAGTTCTCGTTAAAAAAAAAAAAAAAAAAAAAAAAAAAAAAAAAGAGGAGGATAATGAGTTAGAAAATTAAGAGAACGCCACACACAAAAACCCCACGAGGGTCAGGCACTCTCTCTCCTGCAGTGACGAATGTTTACACGGTTTTTTACACCCCATTATGAAGAGGTTCTGCACATTATACCTGGTCTGTCTCCCTGCACATTGTCATTGTCGGTTCCAATGAGCAGGAGGTACAATCCTCTGCTCTTGTCTTTGCACCTTGGGCAGTCGCTGTGGCAGAAAGCTGTCTCCTCGACAAAAGAGTACAGTACCTGCTCCCTATCCACCTGTGCTGCTGCAGAGAAATACAAAGTTCGCCATCGAGCTGCCTGATTTGAATTACATGTGCACCACATTGCAAATGGAATAAAAATTATAAAATTAAACGAACGAATTTCAATCAAATTTGGATCTGCAATTAAATTTGGAATAAATTCATAAATAATTTAATCAACCTGAAAAATTGGAGACAAATTTAGAATTTTGGAACTAAATTTGGAATTCCGGAATTTTTGGAATTAAATTCCAAATTGAATTTGAAACATCCAATTTGGAGTTGAATTTGGAGTTACATTGGGAATTCAATTCGGAATTGAATTGAGAATGATGTAATGAACCCAGTCAGGAGGAAACTCGTCAAGTGTCAAATACAAGATATCTCACTGCTGATAAATGTCTTCATTGACTCGTCAATAATCCTGAAATGTGATCTGTAATACAATGTCTCGTAACCATAGGATGAAGTAGAGGAGAGGGAGAATAGACTTAGAGGGTGGAAGAGAAAGTATCCATCGATGTCCACGTAGATAGAACTTCCTCAATCCCCACTTCTTCTTCAGGCGTCTCCCACATCCACATCAGCAAACAGTGTCCCAGAAACGAGCCTGACGAGATCTGACCATCACATAGTGCCACGTAGGCACAGTTCTCCCATGAAGACGTCTCTGCAGCGCACAATGTCAACAGCAGCAACAGGTAAGTTTCCTCTCTCTCACTCAACCAACTCCACAGACCCTGATCTCCCTCCTTGTCACATCCCCAGTCAGTGTCGTAGACAGTGTGGCATGCGCCACGTCACTAATGCCAAAGACAGCGCGGCAAGTGCCACGTCAGGATCCGAGAAGACAGCTGGCACCAGAAGCAGAGAGGCGCCAGCGCACAAAGCAGCAGTCTCGAGTAGTCGTCGCACAGTGCCAGCGTCTTGCCAGCGTCAAGCCACCGTCGTGCCAGTGTCAAGCAGCAAGGCAGACTGAATGTTGACTCCCAGGGGCTGGGTCAATAAATAGTATTGACGCCGTTGACCAGCCTCTGGTCTCTCGCGTATGGAGGCTCAGATTGACTCCCAGTTGATGGCCTGGATCTCGTACAGTTGCAGACTTCCACTTGGACCGAATGCTGCCTGGATACCTGCGTACAACCAAGTGTGTGGGTCTGATCGGTGGCCAGGACTGGGTCCGTGAAGACTTTGACTCGTGAGCCTCGATATTCTGACTTACAGTTGACTTCGGTCAACTGTCGGGCGCAGGGCCTCTGAGGCCACATTTCAGGGGTTCTGTTCCCCACGATCGGACTCAGGGCCTGAAGGCCATGTGGTGGCCTGCGGGTGGCCCCCTTGGCTGATGGCATAGGCATATTTGAGCGGGTTATTGCAATGAGACTAACATTTGTTTAATTTGTTGTCCACCAAGCATGATGGCAAAAGCGACGATTTGTTCTAGGCTAATCTAAATTGTGAAGATCAACCCATCCTTTTTTTTTTTTTTTGCCAAATCCTTGCTGTTTCTGAGAGCATCCTGTATTTCAGCAGATAAAGATTGATGATTTAAACTTTTTTTTTTCTTTTTTTTTTCTCTTTTCTAAGTTAAACATCGTCTCCGTAAGTCCCCTTCAAGAAGCTTGACAGAAAAACCACATTCGGCACACAACAATCTATGCATGTTTTTTTCGTTTTTCTTTTCCTTTCTTTGTTTCGGAATTTTTTTTTTTTTTTTTTTTGGGGGGGGGAGCGAGAGCGATAGACAGAAATCCAAGTTGCAAAATCACGAAGTAGCTCAGACACTCGTGAACCAAGCAGAGAGTGCAATGCACCAAGATACCGTCCAAATAAGAGCAATACAATGAGCTCGAATGTCAATGTCGCCACTCTCTGGTCACACCGACAGTGTATCCAATGTCGCACTTACTGTCTGGCGCCCAGCGCCCAGCCTATCCTACTCAGTCTATCTAACCTATCTACGTTCTCGCAACTGGATCGCTCTGAAGTCGAAGACCAATGTACGTGACGTCAACACCAATGCCGATCACCAGCATACACCAGGTACGTTCTCTCTGCTCTCGTCATCACCCCTCGTCTCCCCACAGCATGCGCCTCCTACCCGAAGACCACCTTCGCCATCACCTGCCTTGCGCCCCTGCAGCCCGACTATGGCTGCTGTGCACCCGCTGCCCTTGCAGCGCCCCTCACCTCAGCGCCCGTGCGTGCGTCCAACCAGCAGCGCCCATGCAGACACTTGCACAGCAATGCAGCGGCGTGTACACATTGCCTGCCTAGGCCAGAATGCCTCCCACTGGGCTGGCCGCTTTCCTTTATGGAAAGTGCAGCCCCTGTGTGTGTCTGCCTGGGCCTGGCTGGGGAAGTTTCCAGTAGCTTCCAGTCGGGCCCCAGTCTCTGCGCCCAGGCCCACCTCTACAGTTAAGGGCCTGGGCCCTTTTCGGTTGGGCACGTATAGGTAGCTTCCCAGGCTCCAAGGGTTGGCCACATTCTCATTGGCTCACGGAGATTGTGTGACAACAATGCTGCTTTCTCATTCGTCTGTGGCTGCTGCGTGATGTGTCGGCCTCACGCTGTGTGTGCCCAGGGCGCAACTACCTGGCCCTGGGCTCAACAGTACATCGCAGTCCTTGTTTTCTGGAAAGAGCCTGGAGGCTCACGTTTCCCTGCAACCAACCGTCTGTGTACCCACTATGGAAAATGTCGAAAATAGGCCTCTTGTGGATATTCAGGCCCGCCTTCACTTAGGGCGGGCACAAGGCTTGCCGGGGCCAACAGCCGAGAACACTTGCATGTCTGTTAGGGGCCCGTGAGTCCTCGCATTCCATTCCCCTTAGCTTCGAAATTCCGCTGAGATGCTTCTACGCAAGTGCCTTCCCCTTTAATCTCCATTTGTATTCTCCCCCAATCTGAGCGCCTGTTTTGACAAGCTCCTCTCTTGTGAACCAACGATCTTCTTTCGGATCTGTATGATGCCTGAACCTGAGCCCATACAGGTTTGGGGGGTCTTCCTCTGCCCACTGGCTTGGGAACAGGCAAGTCTCTGTGTTCCGGAATACCGTCGACGTCCACGTGGCCATCCATGGTTGGGGGCAGGATTGACCTTCTTGATGGGAACCAATCTGTCTCAGCGAAAGGTGCAAGCTTTGAAGCGTGAAACACAGGGTAGCTGCGCAGATGTCCAGGGATTCTAATGACATACGAAGGTCCATGATATCCAGGACTTCCCAAGGACCGAAATACTGAGGCATTAGTTTTCTAGAGATGCCAAATTCCTGACCCAGTTCGCTAGCCTTCACCCAGACACGTTCCCCTACCTGAAATGTGGACTGCCGTCTGTGTTTGTTCTCAGAGGCAATCATAGCCTCTTGAGACTTCCTAATGTGCTCGACAGCCTACTGCGAGAACTTTTCATACTGGACACCGAACTCGTTCCAGGCATTGCAGCTGGTTGGTTTTCAGGAAGGAGGAAGTATAGTGCAGATCAAGGCTTCCATCCCAAATGCAGCTCGCTTGGACAGACGCCTGTGGTGCTGTGAACTGTGTTGTTATACAGACTGGCGATGAGAGGCAGCTTCTCATCCCAATCATCCTGGCTAGGCTTAATGTAATGCCTCAACAAGTGTTGCACCACGTGGTTCATCTATATTCCGCTTGACCGTTAGCTTGGGGGTGATTCCCGATGGTCATCTGCAGTTTGCTGCCCATTCGTTCAGCAGCCTTCTTCCACATTTCGCTTGTGAATCGGACATCTCTGTCACTAACAATAGACTTGGGCAGTCCACAATCACGCACCCAGTTATCCATGAATAACATGATGACGTGTTCAGTCCTTGTGGTTTCAGGGTTTTTTCCTTTTTTTTTTTGGGGGGGGGGAACAAATGCTCCAATCTATTCATGGGGAGCAACACGTGCTAGGAACCGGGCCCAACGTCCCATGTAGAATATACAAATGAGGTTTCATACGTAGAAAACTTGTCCACTATGACAAAGATGTGCCTCTTGCCACTCTTGCCGGTCACGAGGGTATCCATGAAATCCATGGAGACACTCTGTCCCGGACCTCCAGGAATGGGTAAGGGCTTGAGTAACCCAAGTGGTGCTCGAGTACGTGGCTTGTCCGATTGACAGACTTGACAAGTTTGTACTTCTTCGCATTGTCAAGCATACTAGGCCACCCAAAGCTGTACTAAATTAGCACTAGTCTTCTTATATCCGAAGTGACCAGTCGCGTCATGAGATTCGCCTAAAAACAAACTACGAAAAATCTCACTAGATGGAATAACTAATATTTTCAACCCTGCCTTTCAAGAATGAGTAATCCATCCACCATGACAAACTCATCAGATGTCGCTTCGTCTTTCACGTCTGGTTTGTGGATGATGTCCATCATCAGAGGATCTTCGTAGTACGCATCCACCAATGATCGAGTTACATTGTCAGATAAGCCAAACTCAATTACCAGCGCACCTACGTAGTCTACCCTACGAAATACCACACTTGCGGCCACCTATACCGACTTCCACGACGAAATGCTCCTCTCTAAGACCTCTAGATAGTGCCACCCAAGACTCACGAGGGTCCCTTGCCGACCATTCGGTGTCCAAGTCTTCTAAGGCCTCAGATACATCTAACGAACGAAGTGTTGTTTGGTCCAGATGCATCTCTGGGGTGACTAGAAAATCAATAGCTTTGGCCAACTCCTGAAGTGGTGACGGTACATCAACCACTTCAGCAAAAGTAGAAGCAGCTCTTATGTCTACTGGCCAGATGTGTTTCCCTGATTGGAGCTCGTAGAGACACCACTCTGGTGAAAGATCCCCCAAAACCACATGTGGGAGAAATCTTTTGAGAGACTTTCGCGTTCTTGCATTTGAACCGTTGATGGCCTTATTCACCGCAGTAACTGCAAGGTCTTCGCGAGTACCGATCCCTCCACACATCCTGATCCAAGCCAACCCTCACCCAAGCCGCTATCTTGTTTGAGTTATGAGCCTGCCCCTGACTCTTTTGTTGACCGCCCTTGCCACAGCCAGGTGCCTTTCCTTTCGTTATGGA